CCGCCCAAGCGGCTATTAGTGGGCTCAAATCCAGCCCCCGAGTAAGCGTGGTACCCGCGTACGGGCTCCCCAAATTTTTCCCGCGCAAATTCATAACTCGGGGTTCTGAGATGCTAGAAAGCTGAAATTTTAGGGGAATGTTCCCCGTTCAAGCAGATTCTAATGAGCTCAAACCCAGCCCCCGGGTAAGCGTAGTACCCTTGCTGCCAGCTTCTGCTGCTGTCAACAGCAACAGCTGGCAGCAGCAACAGCTGACAGCAACAACATCTGACAGCAGCAGGAGCAGCTGAAAGCAGCAACTGCTGGCAGCAGCAGCAGCTGACAGCAACAGCAGCTAATAGCAGCAGTAGCTGACAGCAGCAGCAGCTGGCAGCAGACGGCAGCTGGCAGCAGCAACAGCTGGCAGCAGCAGCTGGCAGCAGCAGCAGCTGACAGCAACAACAGTAGCTGACAGCACCAGTAGCTGACAGTAGCAGCAGCTGACAGCAGCAGCAGTAGCAGCAGCAGCAGCTGAAAAATCTGACAGCAGCAGCAGCTGACAATTTTTTATGCATTTTTTGCAGCTATGCATTGCAGAAAACGCATATTAACAAGAGGTTGCCTCTGTGTGTGTGTCTGTTTGTCTGTGTGTTCGTCTGTGCCGGTTTTTCATCTCGAGACCGGCAAAGGCTACGGGGCTGAAACTTTGGGTACATAATCTAGATGCACGTACGGGCCTCCATCCACAAAATTGGCGCCAAAACCCGGGTAGTACTCGCGTACGGGCCCGCCAAAGTTTTTTTGGGGTCAGTTCATAACTCGAGGATCTGAGAAGCTAGAAGGTTGAAATCTGTCCCAAAGTTTTTTCGGGGTCAGCTCATAACTCGAGGATCTGAGAAGCTAGAAGGCTGAAATCTTGGAGTAATGTTCCCGCCCAAGTGGCTATTAGTGGGCTCAAACCCAGCCCCCGGGTAAGCGTGGTACCCCCGCACGAGCCCCCTTAATGTTCCCCGCCCAAGCGGGTATTAGTGGGCTCAAACCCAGCCCCCGGGTAAGCATGGTACCCCCCAAGCGGGTATTAGTGGGCTCAAACCCAGCCCCCGGGTAAGCGTGGTACCCACCTACGGGCCCGCCAAAATTTTTTATTAGTGGGCTCAAACCCAGCTCCCGAGTAAGCGTGGTACCCGCGTACGGGCCCCCCAAAATTTTTCTCACGCAAATTCATAACTCGGGGTTCTGAGATGCTAGAAAGCTGAAATTTTAGGGGAATGCTGCTGCCAGCTGCTGCTGCTGCTGCTGCTGCTGCTGCTGCTGCTGCTGCTGTCAGCATCAGTTGGCAGTAGCAACAGCTAGCAGCAGCAGCAGCTGACAGCAGCAACAGCTGACAGCAACAACATCTGACAGCAACAGCAGCAGGAGCTGAAAGCAGCAACTGCTGACAGCAGCAGCAGCTGACTGCAGCAGCTGACAGCAACAGCAGCTGATAGCAGCAGCAGCTGACAGCAACAGCAGCTGATAGCAGCAGCAGCTGACAGCAGCAGTAGCTGGCAGCAGCAACAGCTGGCAGCAGCAGCAGCTGACAGCAACAACAGCAGCTGACAGCAGCAGCAGCTGACCCCGTCCACCTAAGTTTCATTCAGCCCGAACTCAGCTTTCAGGTATGCTTGGTAAACATGCACGGGCCCGTGAAAATTTTGTTCCATTAAGTTGCTAACGCAGGTGCCAGGGAAGCTAAAAAGTTGGAATTTTAAATGGAATGTTTTCTGACAGTTCTGGTGGCCAATTTTAATTTGTTCAGCTAGAAGCATTTGCCGAAAAACCGGTACCGGTAGTAACAGAAACTGCGGGGAACCATGCAAAAAACGCATCTTCGCACGGGCAGCCCGTGCGTTGGCCAATATTTTAATATTACGTGGATGCCATTCAGTAATCCACTTTGTCCATTTTGTCGTCCGATCGACTCATCTCTTCCTGGCATACACTGTTTTAATAGTAACGCCCGTGCCAGTTCAAAGTCGTAGTCTCTCATTAGAGATGTACTGTAACTTGCGGTACCCACCAGGAATCGTTCCGTGATTGGTCCGGACAACATTAATTTTTAATGATTAAGTTTTTTATGAAGCTAGTAGCGGCAGTAGTGACAATAATAACCGTAGTATAAGAATTTTTGATAACGACAATGATAATAATAATTATTATAATAACAATTTTAGCCTGCTGGTCTTTTCATTTTACTAATGACAATCGTGTCGACCGAATCGTCAATAAAAAGTTATCGTATAAAAGAATATTAAGTTAAAAAAGAAGGAAAAATATGTCTTAACTAACATGTCATCATCTGATAAATGCAGTAAATCATGCTAAAAGTTCCTGTAAAAAAATATCGCTTGCTGCATGATAAATAATCATTTTTCAGATTAATATTCAGGAATCACATGTGAATCTGGTGATAACACGTGATATATGTGGACGCCTGTTCCTGGCTGTTGTGGATCGTGATATCGGCTTAAGAGTTTATCAGCTACTTGCTTACGGTCCACCACCCATTCGTCCGGATTGTTGTAAAGTTCAGCAACTCCTGAACAAAGCATTCTCACTTTTTGCTGCCAGCAGCCCACCATTTCGACGTGCTTATTGCGCTACTCAGTGCTAAAATGGTTCCACTGTTTCATTCATAGACGGATCCTGGCGGAAGGGGTGAAGAGTATTTTGCCCCCTTCGTTCCCCTTCCCCTTCCAGCTCCGGCGGCACAGGTATCAGCGTTGCAAAAGCCCGGATCTGTTCGTAAATAAAACTAAAGCAGCTTTAAGTAGCAGTGTTACAATTCTATTCCTAGTTTTTGCATAGTCCCAGAGTGGGAAGGCGCTCTCATCCCGTTTCCACCACTCCGCTCCCCCTCCCCCTACACCCCTCCGTTCTCCCCCAGTAATCCGTCCTGGATTCGTCTATGATTTTACTTGTAGCCAGTATGATTTTCCTGAGTACCATATATTAAGTCTCATGGCTCAATAGCTTTGTCTTTTTTTTCGGTGCATTACGACCTCATGCGGGTTGTGTGTCTGTGTATTTTGAAATATTGCCACATATCACATTGCCAGAATCTGTATCATTCTTGCCGGCTCACCT